CTAACTCTTGGGCTCAAGAGATTCTCCTGCCTCTGCCTCCCAAGTAGCTGGGACTATGGGCGCCCGCCACAACACCTGGCTATTTTTTGGTTGCAGCTGTCATTGTTGTTTGGCAGGCCTGGGCTGGATTTGAACCTGCCAGCTCAGGTGTATATGGCTGGCACCTTAGCCACTTGAGCCACAGGCACCGAGCCATGTTTCTGGGGTTTTTTAGATAGGGTCTCAGTATGCTGATCAGACTAGTCTGAAACTCCTGGACTTACGTGATTCTCCTGCCTTGGCCTCCTCAGGTGTTGGGGTCATAGGCATGAGCCCCCACACCCGGCCTGTCAGGATCCTTTAAGAGTCTGTTAAAGGGTCTGTTCCTTCTCAGCCATGCTGTCCAATGTCCATGTCTTGTGTAATGTAATTTTGAACTTTTTCTCTAGACTTGCTGTTGAACATGTAGTTTTCAAAGAGCGTGAATTAATATGGTACTAAATCAAGGTCAGCATGCTGTTTCTCCTAAGGGCCAGTTGATAAATGCAGTCTTTTAGGGTTTGTTGGCTGTGCAGTTTGTATTTACAACTGTTTACCTGTGCTGTTGCAACATAAAAGCCGCATAGGCAGCTTGTGAGTAGTGGACAGGCTGTGTTCCAATAAAACCTTATTTACAAAAACAAGCAGCTGGCCTGCAGTTTTCGTTTGCTGATGCCTCCCCACCCCATAAAGAAAGCCGAGTAGACTGCCGACAACCAGTGCCTGTGTCTGGGCAGAAAGGAGAGAGGAGGAGTGACTCGGCAATGGTGCCGTCAGGTGAATGGCTGAGAGCTGAGAGAAGGCTATTTTAGAAGCTCCCAGAGTGAATTTTGGCACCTTAGATTCTCAGTGAAGGTGAACATAGGATGCTTGAAGCTGGGTAAGGCTGGCTGAGAGTAGCTGTGACAGAGGCAGCCCCACTGAACTGTCCTCAGCAGGCTGACGGGTTGAGAACAGGCCACGCGACAGAGCTCACACTGGGGCAGGGGAAGAGTGACTGCGGATGCCCTGTCCGGACAGCTGTCAGTAGGACAGGCTTCCTGTGGTTGTCAGGGAGCAGAGGGAAGAGCCTCCAAGCCCCACTTAACCAACCTCTTCCCCACCAGATCTGGCTTTGAATTAAGATGAAAAATTTTTATTTTTTTATAAAAAAACTTCAATTTATTCTTTAAAGTCTTTAAACAAAGGAAAAGTTACCGCATTTAGGGCATCTTTGCTTTTTGCTTAATCCTTCTTCTTAATTTTTTTTTTTTTTTTTTTTTTTTTTTAGTTTTTGCCCAGGGCTGGGTTTGAACCTGCCACCTCCCTCATGTGGGTCCAGTGCCCTACTCCTTTGCGCCACAGGCACTCCCCTTTTTAATTTTTCAGATATTTGGCACTTAGAGAAAAATGTTACCAAACTGAATATTGGAAAGCAGGGGTTCTTAGTGCCTGGTCCTCCGCTTTGCAGCCAGCTGTCCCCTGTGTCTGCTGTGCGGGACTGTGAGCTCCCCGAGGGCCGGGCACACAGAGTTAAGGCCGGTGGCTGGGGGACTGGACCCAGCGGCTCCTACCGTTTGATTTTAGCCGCAGTGACAGCACTAGGAGTAACAAATGTGGGCGTTTGTGTCTGTGTTACAACTCACGTAATCTTTATTTCAGGAGGAAATGAGAATGTTTAGGAGCCGAGTCCAAGAAGTGGTAAGAGAAAACGAAGAGCTGCACCGGGCGCTGAGCGGGGGCCGCCCCGCCCCCCGCCGGGAATGGCAAGTGCTGGCGCGTCTCGCGCTCCGTGGATTGAGATAATAGGACAACACTTTATGAAATCATTAACTCCGTCTTTTTAAACTAAAATATTTTAACAGAGTTTCTAAGATATTAATAAGGTATAGTAAAATCCCAGAGACTTATTCTTTTTTTTTTTTTTTTTTTTTTTTTTTTTTGAGACGGAGCCTCAAGCTATCCCCCTGGGTAGAGTGCCATGGCATCACAGCTCACAGCAACCTCCAACTCCTGGGCTCAAGCGAGTCTCCTGCCTCAGCCTCCCAAGTAGCTGGGACTACAGGTGCCAGCCACAACGCCTGGCCATTCTTGGTTGCAGCCATCATTGTTGTTTGGTGGGCCCGAGCTGGGGATTCGAACCCGCCACCTTAGGTGTATGTGGCTGGCGCCTTAGCCGCTTGAGCCACAGGCGCCAAGCCCCAGAGACATATTCTAAACTTATAGTTTGAAGATGACTTTAAAAATTCTGAAGAGGTTCTCAGACCTGAAATGTAGTTGCTTTCCCCTTTTTATTTTCCAAGGTGGTGTTTTTCTGGGACGGTTTTCCTATCGTAAACCCTCCCTTGTTAGACTGCTCCTGTGGGTCCCTGGGCTTGAGAACAGAAAACCCAGGATGAAGCCGGGCCGGCTGGTCCACCCTCCCTGACAGCTCCCTGTCCTGCCCCTCCCGCGCTCTCCACCCTGCAGGAGCCCACTCAGAGGTGCTTGTCAGGAGCACTCCCTGTAGTCTCTGTTTCTGATGCAGCCCTGCACACTGGCCCATCCGGGACCGCCGCACTGTGCCGGCCAGTCTTGGCTGCCTCCCTCTCCCCTTTGTGAGCTCCTCAAGGGCAGGCCCCTGACCCGTTCATCCTCCTGTCTGGGACCCTGTCCCGTTCATCCTCCTGTGTGGGACCCTGTCCCGT